TCGGGTTTTTTTTTTGCATAGTTAATGAGTCCAATCCGAAGAGGTACCTCGGTCTCCCTGCAATTGTGGGACGTAATAAAAGAGGTGCTTTTATGCATTTCAAGGATAATTTTTGGGCTGAATTCATAACTGGCGTGTTCGAATACTTTCACAAGGAGGTAGGGAAGTATTCATAAAATATCTTTTACAAGCCATTCCGTTGTTTGCAATGTCTTGTTTTCTTTTACCAAAAAGCCTATGCTCTGAGTCGGAGAGCATTATGGCTCGATTTTGGTGGCAGAAATCGAAAAAGAAGCAAGGGATTCACTGGTGTTCATTGCAATTCTTATGCCACTTAAAGATTATGGAGGGCTTGATTTTCGAGATTTTGGAAAAATTTAACATTACTTGGCGAAATAGGGTTGGAGACTCTTTTCCAATCTTACTTCTTTGGTGGGAAGGGTGCTAAGGGCAGAATACTACCTCGGGGGGGAGAATTGTTGAATGCTCGATTGGGATCCTCACCATCTTATATTTGGCGAAGCATTTGGAGTGCAAAAGGCCTCCTTTTGAGTGGATTACGATGGAAGGTGGGGAGGGGCAGTTCTATCTCCATTTGGAATGATTTTTGGCCTCCGAGCGAAATGTCATTTCATATTGTTTCCCTAAGAAAGAGTTTGGTTAATGCTGTGGCCGATTTGATAGATGAACAAACTCGAGTCTGGAATGTTGATTTGATAAAGGAGTTATTTAATGAAGTTGATGCAGAGGCAATTTTGGATATTCCATTGTCTAACTATGACCAAGCAGACTGTAGGGTTTGGTGTGATGAGAAATCTGGGATATATAGTGTACGAGGTGGGTATCATATGTTGCTGTCAGATGACGAAATTGATTCATCTTATAAGGCGATTTTTAAACATATTTGGAATTGCTCATGTCAACGAAAGATAAAGTTACAGGTATGGAAATTTGCATACAATTTTTATCTTACTCGTCAGAATTTGCACACAAAACGCATATTAAATAATCCATATTGTCCCTGTTGCGTTACCGTTGTTGAATCAGATGTCCATATTTTACATGATTACAAATTATCCCAGTTAGTTTGGTTAGCGCTGCACATTGATTGGCCTACCTCTATGATACATACATCATTGTTTAAATGGTTGAAATGGCTTTTCGCCCATAATACAACAACAAGACACATTGAAATTGTGGTAACCCTGTGGCTTTGTGGCATGCTCGGAATAAAGCACACTATGAAAGATTGTGAAAGTAGAAGAGATTATTACCTTGGTACAGGCACACTGCTCGGAATTTCTTTTGGCCAACGATGCCTTCGTAGACCTGATGCACACCATGAAAGTAAATTTATTAATGTAATTATCATAACTAATAATTTATTTTAAATTTCAAAAAGTAATAATATTAATTTAATTATCACAAGTTTTTCATAAATTTAAAATCTCATAATTGTTTGTAACTTATTACTTATAAGTAAGGTAAATATCATATCAGTTTGATAACAAGTCAGATCATTTACATGTTGAGTCAATTACATGTTAGGTTGATAATAGGTCAGGTTGATAACAGGTCGGGTTGATACCAGTTATTTACTAGGTTAAACTCGGGTTGGGGTTCATATCGATCAAATTCAGTCGGATTTGGTTATTATATTATCGGTTCAATTCGGGTTCAGGTCGTTCTCAGACCAGGTGCAAGTCGGGTTCAGATCTACAATTTCTAGATTCAACTTAGGTTCAGGTTAACGCCAATTCGAATTCAAATCGGTTTCGGGTCATGTAACACCTACGACCCGTATACTTATACCAATACATGTTATAGATGTCACATGATTTACTTAAAACATTTCCCCATTCAAAAGTGACTTGAATTTTTTTCAATTATAATAGAAAATATAAAATAATAAATCACATTTTTTTATAATATTTAAATATCAAATATGTCCATTTATAAAAGTAATACTAAATAATATATTCCATGATGAAATAAAGTAAAACAATTTAGTTTAGCTATTACAACTATTTCCAAAATAGTTAACAAAGCAATTAAAACATTTATAAGTACCTGCCACTAAATAAGTCATAATTACATCAAATGATGTCTTACTGATATTGTATTATACTCCTCGATGCTTGAGATTGCCCAATACTTCTTACTTCTACTCCTAACATTTACCTACGCGTGAAAATCATCACATGCTAAATATATACTTAGTGAGACAATTTAAAAATAATAAACAATCTTTTCATGCATAAAATTTGAATGCCATCATCAAAACCATAAGATTTTCTTACCTGCCAAAATCAACACGACATGTTATAAATATAATCATTAAATCAATAACTATAGCCCAATTTATTAATCAATGAGGAACCCGGTATAGGAGTCAAAAATTACGTAATAACGCTAAGGTCGAGCCATGCTCAGCTAATAAATTGCACTGTAGTGCTGAGGTCGGGTTTTGCTAAGCTAACTTGTACTATGTGTATTCACTATACACATTAGTACTACTTAAATTTTCACAGCTGCTAGACTCTATAGCATGCCATTAATATCACTGAAACTCAATAACATACTTGGGCATTTAGTCATGAATTAAATTATCCATGGCAACATATAACCATGAAACAAACCTTAGGGCAGTTCATACCCATAATAACATTCATGTCAAAATTTAATGCTGATAAAATAAGGTAGACTTATCACATGTCTTCTTGATGATGTATAAAACATCTATGTACATGATGTATATAACATCTATTTACAATGTCATGCATGTATTGCACTCACCTTGACACTTTATAATTCCAAAAGATTTTGCTCCACTATGCTCTAATTTAGTCCTTTTTATATTCTATTTGCTTTGAAAACAGAGTCAATCACGATCTGTACAAAATCATAAATTTATATCGGTACATATGTTAGTATTGTACTAGCATAAATACATTTCTAAAATAATTTCCAAAATCAGACAACTCACGCTACCTTTAAAGAATCAGTATTCTGTATTTATATACACACTGGAATTTAATTTCGTTTCTTCCTATGAAAACTAGACTCGAATACGACTATCCATATAAAGAACTCCTTATAGTTCATTTTGTACAATGTTTTGTGCAGAAACTGCTGCCCCGTTTTCTAACATTTCCTCGGTTAAAAGTCCATATATTTTTGTATATACCTTGAAATTGATCTCCGTTTGTTTCAAACGAAACTAGATTGATATAAGAACATAATATATAAAAATAACCTCCAAATCATTTTATATAATTTATGGTGAATTTTCAAACTCATTGTCAGATTAAAAAATCTAAACTGCTTTCCTTATTTTGCATCCTTAAGTTCTTCATCAATTCTTACAACAAATTCTTTAAAATCACTAAACTCTTCATAACCCCAAATCATAAAATCTCATCACATTTATCTTCACCATGAAATTTTGGTACCAAATGATAGAGAATTTCATATAGAACAATTTTCTATTTTACGACAACTCAAAATCCAAAGAAAATTACTCAAAAATAGAAAAGAAAATTTTTTTTCTTACCTTTGAGAGAAACCCACAACCTTTCAACTAAGATGAAAAAATATCCTCAATCATTTTTCATTTTCATTATAATTTAATAAATTTTTAATTTATTAAAAGCTAAATTATCAATTTACCCTTAAAATTAAAATATCTTTCATAATTTACCCTTAATGAACTTGATATTTACATTAATACCAAGCCATCCAACCTTATCATCTTTCACAGTCAAAGATGAACCAATTTGACTTTGACTTACTAAATTTGCCATGAAATTTTTAAAATTTACATTTTAGTCACTAAATTCCATAGTTTCAGTCAAATCTGAAAAAATTACACATTTTCGAGCCAAATTTCTCTGATCTAAAATATTAAAATAATATTTCCTACCATTCTATAACATCCTTTAAATTTTCGTAAAATTCCAATTTGATCCGATATTCTATTTCAATACCGAACTTTACTGCTCTATAGCTTTTAACAAAATTCCTGTACCAAAATATGATTTCTCACTAAAATATCTATTTGAATTCAAACTATTCATTTACAGGCTAAAATATATATTTTTTAATAATTACAATTTCAGTCCTTAAATTTTTTGAAGTTTCAAAATTTACACTTTAATCACTAAATAAAATTTAAAATATTACAGATCATCTTCACCCAGTCACAAATAATTTTGACTCAAATCAATTTCTTTCAGTTTTGTAATTGGAGTAACCTTTTTAGAGCCCTACTGAATGCAATCCAAATGGATATTCCAACAATTATGAGGAAAAATAAACTGAACTGACATAGAAGAAAAGATAGATTTTTTTTATAAAAATAATTAATAAAAAATACTTTCTATTAAAAAAATAATGTAATTGCTACCATTAATTCAGAAAACTAATAATAAATATTTTTTTCTCAAAATTTAGAACCCAGTGTACGTTAAAGAGGGGAAAATACCTGTAGGCAAGGAATTGAACCGGATCATTTTCAATCTGATTATCTTCGGAAGAACCAGAAGAGCTAAAACTACAAACGGAAGACGACCCAGATCCCAAAACCGACAACATGATCACTCGAGACAGATGGTCTAGGCAAAGGAATCCCTCTCTTCTCCCCTGAATCCGAATCGAAACCCGAAAACCCGGAAGACCCACAGCCAGAAACACGGGCACCAAAATCCTTGCTAGCTCGTGGCGAATTACGTGTGGATAAAACAAAACCTCATTCTCCCACCACCGGCGGCTACAGAAACGCCGGTTTTATTGGGCGAAGACTTAATTAATCCATTGGAGCCGTCACGGGGAGTGTGATTCCGTGGACAGTCTTCCTTTCTCTTACTCGACCTTTTAACCCACCAACCTCTTCCTAGCCTAGTGCATTGGTGCAGCTGCCGCTGACTGTAAAATTCCCCATAGCATAGATAATTCTCATAAAAAAAAAGAACTCATTCAACATAACCAGAGCAAAGAACAGCATGAATCTCTCTACTCCTTCTCCTACATCTCTGCCTCATCACTCCCCTCTTCGCTCAACTTCTTTACGAGGTTCAAAACCATCAAATTCTTTTCAGCTACGCATTTGATCGAACAGTTTATGTTTTTTTTTTCATTTTTCTTTGTTGTGAGTGTTTGAGTCTGTGTTGTTTGGTTGCAGGGATAATCTAACTGAGAATGTTGCTATCGAGGGTCGTAATATCAACTTCTCGGTTAATACAAGGCAGGGCAAAATAGTGCCGATTCTGAAGGATTGTTCAATTCGGATTCCTTCGGGGCAGCTGTGGATGCTTCTTGGACCTAATGGTTGTGGTAAATCTACCCTTTTAAAGGTACCTTCACTCTCATTTTTTCCCTTTTTCCCTATTAGAATATAGATATTAGGCATCGATAAAAAAAATGCTACTTGCCCCAACTGGCGCGATAATGGTTCAACCTCAATTTCCTTTTGAATTTGTGAACTTCTGCATTGTATTTTTCATTTTACAATATATGCCATGTTAAGGTGATGGGGTAAATAGAATTGATCATATAAGAATACTGTGGGCTGTCATTGTGTGCTTGATAAACCTTTTATTCTGTTTTGGTTTTGAAAATACGGCCTGGATTATCATGCGTTGGTTGTGTTGTGAGTAATGCAGATCTTGGCAGGTATTCTGACCCCAACAAACGGAAGTTTATTCGTTAGGAGGCCGAATAGTTATGTATTCCAAAATCCAGACCATCAGGTTGGTTCTTTTCCATAGCCACACAATTCTATATGTTTTGGATTCTGTTCTTGGTTTCCTTTTGTTACCATCAGGCCCAAGAGTTACATATCTCGGCTAATGGTTTTTTGTTTTTGGGAGGCACTTATCATGGGGATGTTATGGTTTCAGTAACATAGATTTGACCATAACATTGTAGAAAACCATATTGGCCTTGTTAGATGGTTAGACTTGATTATTGCCATTCATATTTGATGATCAAAACTAGAAGAAACAGACTTGCTTAGCTTTTATTGAAGCTTGAAGTAGTTTTAGACTTTTAAGGATCATCTGAATTTCAGTTGTAAGAAGCTTCTGCTGCTGAGGCTGCATTTACTTGCAACCATAATAGATTGTGTGTATATGTTTTGAGAAATTTAAGGACTATGAAGATATATTTTTATAAGTTTCTTTCATTCTTACAGAAGCTATATATTCAATAGTTACGCCTTCCTGAAGCTTTTGTATCAATCGGTCATGAATTTTTTATTTTTTTAAAAAAAGAGGGGGTTTTTCTCCTGTATTTCCTGACTCACAGGTCAGGTGTACATAGTATGCCTTCTTTTCCACTCCAATCCTTCCCATTTTAGTGTTTGGTCATATCGTTCTTGTAATCTTGTAGTTGAACTAAATTTTCTGCATAGCTTTTCTAATGCTAATGCCTTCTTCATTGTCAATTCGATTTAAAACTTTGTACCCATGTAGGAAGAGCGTGAAATTGGTGTTTTCCTGGTTGAGGGTTCCTATGCTTTCTAATTCTAGACTTAGGATTTCAAGTAACCTTGAATACAGGGTATCTCTGCACCATCTGCTACAGTTCATTTGCATAATACCACATCTTTGTAGACGACATGCACGAAGCTTAAGAAATGATGAATGCTCATCAGAGTATAATTTTCTTTCCCACTATTCTACATTTTTGTGGATTCGACATGTTCCTTAAAGGTTGTCAAATGTCCATATAAAGTTAGAACATGAGAATTGAGGAAGAAAATGCCTTTCTTTTATTAAAGTTTATTTATTTATGATAATACGAATAGTAATAATAATTAGAAGAAGGAGAACTTGGTGATCAATTTGGTTCTTGAAATGGTTTATCACTAATTTTTTCCATTTTAGCTTTTAATTGTCTTTCTCTCTCTCTCTCTCTGTAATTGTTGCAGTTAAACCACAATGTACACAGCTAACTGAAGGTGTCTGGTCTGGTTTCTTGTATATGATATGATTGGTATGAAAGTGGTCCATTGTTTTCACAAGAATTATGACTTTGTATCCATTTTTTCCCAACTCTAAAGGATCCATTCCATGCTCAGTCCTGCATTGATTGTATAACATGACAATAGCTATTTCCTAAGGTTTTCCATCTTAAAAAGAAGAATAGTGATTGTAATTCATTTCCCCCTTAGAGAAGAATTAACTTTTAATAGGTATGCAATCTTAATAACTGCTACTTTTCTTTGAAGCTTTGCTTCTTTGCTGCAGCCTTCATAATTTGTGCGCTCAATTTAATTTACCGCATTCTTGCTGATGCCAATGTGTTGGACAAAATTTTATGTCTACAATGAATTTGCTGACAGTTCTGATATGAACAATCTTTTATATTGCTGTTATATTTCTAAAGGAACTATCCCTAGTTTACAAACACCAGAGGCATCTTTCATCATGCAGGTTGTGATGCCTACAGTTGAAGCAGATGTTGCGTTTGGCCTTGGTAAATTAAACTTAACAAATTCTGAAGTTAGATCCAGGGTGTCAAAAGCTTTGGACGCGGTTGGCATGTCTGAATACCTAGAGGTAAGTAAGATTTTGTATTCAACAAATTTTGGATAATAATACATCATGTTGAATATTGTAATGTTTATTCAAGGTTTATCATCTTGAATTTGTTTCAGAGGCCGGTTCAAACTCTTAGTGGTGGTCAAAAGCAAAGAGTCGACATTGCTGGTGCTTTAGCTGAAGCATGTAAAGTTTTGCTTCTGGATGAGCTTACAACCTTTTTGGATGAAAGTGACCAGGTGAGTTAGTAGATATTATATCAATATTCTATAAGCAAACAGTTACATATACCTCTATAATTTGAGCTTTTTTTGTATGACCTGATTAGATGGGGGTGATAAAAGCAGTTCAGAATCTTTTGGAAATATCGGGAGAAGTCACGGCACTGTGGGTGACCCATCATTTGGAAGAACTCGAGTACGCAGACGGTGCAATATACATGGAAGATGGAAGAGTTATCATGGATGGGGATGCAGCACGAATAAGGAAATTTATCAAAGCCAAGCAATCTTCTTATATTAACCGTGTAAATTGTTGAGTACTCTCTATGTTGATTTTGTTTTGTATAAAAAGTTTACAAATTACGATGTCAGCTTTCGTTGTGGTGGTAAAGCAAATGTATATTCTTTTATGAATATGCGAGTCTGAGCATGATTTGTACTATGGTTTTAAGGTAAAGATTATATTTGAATCAAGTAAAAGCTTGTTATCAAGTTATGATTTTGATGCTACTGTGACCAAATATTCACCGTTCTATGATTGGATCTAACAATACAGTAGATGCTACGATTGGAACATACAGAGAAGGCTAAAGTTGGGTCAATTTTGATTTTGAGAAAGCTCTTATTAGTGTAGGCACTGTCCCAATGGAACTTTATTCACAGAAGGGCTTACGGTATTTAGTGAGTGCTATAGTAAATCCTCTTTACTCTGGACGGACTGCTCTTAATTTTACCTTTAAATCACTTTCAAGTATAATATGTAGGGCTACCCCAAGTCCTAAACTATTGTCTCAATTCTATTTTGGCCATTAAACCAATTTTTTTCTCAATTAGATCACTGAACTTTCAATTTGATTTTAATCAATTCACCAATCATTATTTGTTAACGGAATTGATGACATGATAATTAAGTAAATTTATATAATAATACATTTGGTCCTCATTATTTATATATTTTATCAATTTGGTCATAATTAGGATAATAACACATTTGATCTTTATTATTTATACATTCTATTAATTTGGTTATAATTTTAATTAGAAATAATTTTTCAAATTTAATCCTCTAATAAGAAGACATGTTCACCATCTTATTGATGAAGAAAAATAAGGATGACAATAAGGTTTTAATCTTTGAGGAGAGGAGCACCTAATCACTAAACCAAGTCCAATAACTGGTTAATAATTGATAATGTTTTATATATAGGTTAAACTATATCTTATTGGTAGAAAGTCAAGAAAGCAAGAACAAGAGGGGGACATGATCTTAGGACGTAGGGGAGAGTATAAACACAACCCATTATTAAAAACACATATATATAAAATTATAGTTAATACAATGTATTATTTTTAAATAAAGAATGAATCAATGAGATTTAAACCTAGGACATGGACGAATGTAGGCATAACACTTAGGAAATTAACCAAACTAAATAATCATTTTATAGGTGACTAAAAACTATATTTGGATTAAACTATGTTTGAAAGAATATTTGATAGAGCTGAGAAAGGGAGAGTTATGAAAGTTATTATAAAAGTAATTTTATTTATTGATGGTCTGCACCATTTGTTTTCATATATTGTCCTTGAACACAAGATTTGACTCACAGCACCCTCATAAGACAGCCCTATTACAAGTATTTGATAATTAAACTAGACTTTCATGTATATTCGAACTCTCTCCTTTCCAAGCTTATTTAAAGTTTACTAGTAGCGATCAGGAGGCAGATAATGCACGCCCCCCCCATATGGTGATACGGGCACTGCTGGTGCTGGCGATGGTGTTATTGGTTCTAGAGATGCTGTTGGATGATGGTGGTGGTGGTGGTGGTGGTGTGATGGTGATGATGGCTTAGAGGAAGTGATGGTGATGGTGTTTCTGGTCCCAAAAAGGGTGTTGGATGATGATGATGGCGGCTTAGCCTTGCTTCACTTACCTCTGGTAGAAATGATGCAACAGAAATGAAAATGAGAAATATAACAACATGGTTATTTTTGGTAAACAAGCTCATTCCCTTCTTGTTTTCCATTAGAACCTCCAATCTGGTTAATGGAGAAGGCAATGCAAAATCCTTCAGCTTTAGCTGCCTATTTATAAACTCCTTTAGCTGAGGTTTTAAACACAAGCCTCACATTATGTGTGGGAAAGAAGGAATATTTGAGAATCTATAAAATCCCAAGTATTTATCGAATTGAACGTATGGGGCACTCTCATTTTTGTTGCTTCGAATTTTCTTAGGGGTGACTGCTTTACCGGTTTTCGTTTGAAACTTCAAGTCCATGGAAAATGGTAAATTTGGCAATACTTGCTTGACTTGACTTGACTTTGCTGACTTGATCACTATCCCGCAATAGGAATGTTTATGGTGGGGTTGGGTCGAGGTTTTAGATAATTCGAATCGACCCGACTCGATTAAAATATACTCTCCACTTGAGAAATAACTTAATTTAGGTTTAGAGTGACTTCATCGACTCGAAATTTAACCCGTCTTTTGAGATAAAATTCACACACAACCCAATTCAACCCGACATATATATATATATATATATATAATTCTTAATTTTATTTGATATAATAGGGATATAATTGAAAACATAAAATAGAGGTGTATTATTATAATTGTCCATGAATCTATAAGGTATAATTATATTATTTTTTAATGTCAGGTCAAAATATTTTTTATCCTAAACTCAAATCCAATCGATCCAAACCTGATATTTATTTTAAACAATCCTACAAAACTTTAGTATCTTAAACAATCCTACAAAACTTTAGTATCTTAAACATTAATGTTTAATATGGTTGGAGAGACAATAATATCTTTATTTGAGCATAAAACAATTATGTTATGGCACAAAATAATTTCAATTTCGACTATGAAAATAAATTCAAAAATAAATTATACATTTGATCTTAAATTACTTAAAATATATATTAAAGTTTTTTTATAAGATTTAATTACAAGTAATCAATAAAATAATTAAAATGTGTAATAATTCCAAAGTTATATATTTGAAATGTATCTTATTTTCTGAAAAAGCTAGTCAAATTTTCTTAACAAATTAACAACCGTACATACACTCTAAAAATATAACTGTTCAAATTCAGAATTTTTAAAAAGAGTAACTTTCTCCCTCACCTCTTAGGGCATTTGACAAGTTCTTATATATACAATGATTTTAATACCCAAAGGTAAAAATACTCCTTATTTTTTTTCTCCGTCTTAAAAATGAAATAAAAAATATTAAACCTTCCTCTCACTTTCTCTCTTTACTCTTCCCCTGCTTGATAAACTAAGTTCTCTCTCTTGTGCACAAACCAAACAACTTTGGTGGTTGAGAGATTGTTGTTATCTTTTAAAATCATGGGTTCGAACACTACGTATGTCAGGAGTATGAACGTTTATTGTCAAATAGTTGAAAGTTTTTTGTAAAATATACTACCTTATATTCCTCCCATAATTATATATATATATATATATATATATATATATATATATATATATATATATATATATATATATATATATATATATATATATATATAAGTTCTCCCTTTATCATTTTATTTTACATAATCGACCAAATTTTTTCCTCGTGACTGTGAGAGTGAACTTTAAAATAAGCACACTAATATGATGATTGATATCTCATTTTGTAAGCTTAATTCTTGCTTTGTTTGCGATTGTTGTTGGTTGGCTTCAACCGTAACCTCTTTCACCATGATGATGATAAGCCCTATATGGTTTTCTACCTCCGAGACAAGTGTTCCTTCTTTTCTCTGTGTTGGGATCTCACTATTTTATATTTTGTCCTTTATTATGAATGAAGTTTTATTTAAGAATATATATATATATATAGTAATTATACAAGAGAATTTAAGAGGTTTTATTCTGTAAAAATATTTGAAGGACAAGTTATTTTATTTAGGGTAAATTACATGGATGGCCACTCAATTATTGTCTTCTTTCATTTTGACCACCGATATTTTGATTTCATTAATCAAACCACCCAATTATTTAAATAATTCATCAAGCCTCATGCCGTTAAATTGTTCAGGGATCAAATGAGTAATTATACCAAAAAAATCTAACTATCACATCATCATCTCCGTTAAATTTTAATGACAAGTAGCTTGTTTGAACCATTTAAAAAATTAAATGGTCTGATTGACAAAATCTAAAACATCGGTGGTCAAAATAAAAGGAGGTGATAGTTGAATGGTCACCCGTGTAGTTTACCCTCTTATTTATTAATCCTGACCATTTGTTTACATAGATTATACATAAAGACAATATTTGGCTCACACCAATCCACACGACAACCCTATTACAAGTATTTGATAATCAAACTGGACGTCTTATATAATCCAGCTCTCTTTCTTTCTACTAGAAGATGAAGCTTCTTTTATTTTTACTGCTACATTAACTCCTGCAGGTGATATAAAATATCAAATGCATCAAAAATCATATATGTCAAGGTCCCAATATGACAAGCATAATGCAGGCCGCCTCCAAAAGGTGATGCTGGCACTGTATTGACTTGAAGAGGCAATGGGATGACAATGGTGATGATGATGATGTTTCTGGTCTCAGAGGGGGCGTTTCAAGTATCGGAGGGGGCGTTTCTAGTCTCAGAGGGGGCGTTTCTAGTCTCGGAGGGGGTGGTGGATGATGATGATGATGGGGCATTTCTGGTCTCGGAGGGGTGTTGGATGATGATGATAATGACGACGACGAATATAGTTTATCTTTGCTTCCCTTACCTCTGGTAGAAATCATGCAACAGAAATTAAAATGAGAAACATAACAACATGGTTAATTTTGGTACACAATCTCATTCCCTTCTTGTTTTCCATTGGAACCTCCAATTTGGTTAACGGAGAAAGAAATGCAAAACCCTCAGCATTAGCTGAAGTTTTAAACAGGAATAGATCGGAGGGTGTTGGAGTGCAGTAGCACATCTTAAAATTTTTTATTTTTCTTAATAATATATATTTTATTTTTATTTTATATGAAAATTTAATTCTGTATCCCGTAAAATTTTATAATCTTGCACTGCATCGGTCCTGGTTTTAAACACAATCATCACCTTATGTGTGGCAAAGAAAGAATATTTGAGAATCCAAAAAATCCCTAGTACTTATCGAACTCAACGTATGGGGCACTCTCACTTTTGTTGCTTCGAAGTTTCTTAGGAGTGACTGCTTTATCAGTTTTCATTGGTTGACTTGTCTTAGCTGATTCCTTCAAACAAAAATGTTTTTTTTATTATTCAAGACCAGATGGAGTATTCTGTTAATTAACTCAATTAAAAAATTATATCATGTGTAATATATGTAGCTCAATTTACATGTAAATGGTTACGTAATATTATGTGTTTGTCTATTAAATTTATAATATATCAGAATATTAATTATTTTAATTATTATCTATATTAGCTACAAATTTGATTTTAAACAATCTTTTCTCTTTATAGTGACAAGATAAAAAGCTTATAGTTTTATTAAAAAAATAAAATATTTAAATTACAATTAATGCTGACAACTACAACCGTAAACTAAACATATAAAAATGATATTTTTCCTATAATTATTAACGCAAGAAACTAGTCATCTAAGATTACACATGACCATATAAGTAAAAGATTAAAACCCTAACTAAATAATCTCGAATAAAATATAGATACAAATAAATTAGATTGCATCGATAAACGAACCACAAAAGGAGATTGAATTATTGAAAGATCACATACAAATCACAAATCAGAATCAAGCAATGTATGAAACTATCCACGAACGCAAATCACGTATCTAAATTCAATCCAGTGGTCCAAAACATGGAAGATCAGCATGATAATAAATAAGTGACATCTTGATCAATCGTGGCAGTGTCAAACCCAATCCTAAAAAAATGATGAATGAAAATAACAGTTAAACGATAAAAAACGTACCAAAAGCCATAGAAAAACGTGTCATAAAGACAAAGAAAAATACACCATAAAGACAAAGGAAAAAATTCATAAAAACAAATTTAAAAAAGAAAAAACGATATAATAAAATAAAAGAAAAATAATGACTATCGACAAACAATATTAAAATTGATATTGTCGTCAATCTTAAAGATAAAAAAGAAATAGACTAACATCGATACAAGAAAATGAGAAAAAATTGCTCTATCTTCTCATTAAATCTATTTCTTATTGATTTTTCCTTGGCAACTTTTTTAAAAATTTTGACTCATTATTATTTAAAATTTATTATTGATAAAAATATTTTAAAAATATTCAATCAAATAGTTTTAAAATATATATTTTATAAAATTTAATTGTTTAAAATATTAAAAATACTCATGGTCAAAGTTCGAAAATTTTAACTTTTAAAAAGTTAATAAGAGATAGGTTTAATTAGATCAAAAAATAAATCTAAAAACCTCAATTCTAAATATCTTGAGAATGAAAAAATCTTTTCTATTTTTTAATAGAAGCTGTTAGGTTTATTAAAAAACGAATATCCAAAATTATAATAATAATTTACAACTATCATCGTAAACTAAATACATAATTTTGACGTTTTCCTATAACATTGAACTAGTCACTTTAGATCATATAAGGGCATACATGAAAAAATGTTAAAAACTCAACCAAAAGACTCGAGAAAAAAATGTATATAAGCAAATCTGACTGCATCGGCAAACGAATCACAAAATGAGATTAACCTATTGAAAGACCATTGAGAACCGCATATCAAAGCCGAACTCATGAGAAACTATTTACGATCACAAAATCGCGTATCCAAATTCAATATGAAAGTCCATAATAGGGAAGATCAACTGTAATACAAATAAACGTCATCTTGATCAGTCATTAAATCCAACCATGAGAAAATAAAAAAAAATAAAGATAAAAAAAACAATGATCGACAATCAATTTCAAAAATAGTTTTATCACCCACTAAACAAAAGAAAAAAAAAAGTTAACCTAATCTATAAATAAACGATATAAACTCTAAAGAAAAAGAAAAAAAGAAAAAAAGAAAGAAGCGCTACGTTCGTCAAACTTGTTTTTAAATCATTTCTATTTATTTATTATTAAAATTTGTCTTTTTGTACATGCAAATAAAATAATTTGTGGTGTGAAGTGTGAAGCCGGTGATGACGATGTGATTTTGCATTGAATTGTAGTGTGTGCCGGTTATTAACTGTTATGTTGGAAATTTGAGTTAAGAAGGCCTAAGTCAAGAGAGATCCTTTTTGGCAAACTATAAAATATCCGATTGTTATACTTCTTAAAATCGGACCACCTATTCATAATAAATAAATAAAATTGGTTAATTTTTATTTTAAAGTATATTCTTTTGTTGGAGTTGTTTTTAAAAATATTTTTTTTATGTTTTATTCCTTAAATTATTAAAATTTATTTATATTATCTTATTTTTTTTAACATCATTAGAAAATTGGTTAATCAGAGTGTGTCGCATGATAATTTTGATCGATTAACTTTAATAAAAAAATGTAAATAATATGTAAAGTCTTTCAAATTTTATTTTTGTTCAATTTATTCCTTAAAAAGTGTATTTAAACAGGGATTGATCCCTGTTTATTTTTAATTTTATAATTTAGTTTAATATTATTTATAATATTGTTTAAATTAATCTCATTGAATATTTTAGATCTATCCAATAAAAATATGACATGTGTCATCACATATTGAAGGAAAAAATAGAAAAACAAAAATGCAAACTAAGGAAAGGGAAAAAAAACCTAACACTCAACCCTAAACCAAATCTTAAGCGTGTTATAACATGGATAAAATTAGACTGAAATTAATTAATATATTCTTAAATTAATATTTGTATATTCTTAAATTATTTTAAATTAGGGTAAACTATACTTATGAATGATTAATTTAGTCGTGTTAACTATGGTCTCTTTTCATTTTGACAATCTATCTTTAATTTTATCAATCAGACAACTTAATTGTTTAAATGGTATCGATTAAGTCACTTGCCGCTGCCTTTTAACTAAGGAACTAACGTGACAATTAACAAAAATGACATAATTACATATTTAGACCTTAATACTTATGATAGATAATTCCTAATTCCTACAAGTGGACTAAACAATGAAACTAATCTAATCTAAAATACAACTTAATACAATTATTCTTTCATTATTATTTCAAACTAAGATATAAACATTGTAGTGTTTATTTTCCTCTCAATTTCTATTTAACAAAAAAGAATAATTACTATAGGACTGAAGCTATACACACACTATTCAACACACTACAACAAGTTTAGTAAATGATATTTTAGATTTAAAAAAAAAGTTTAGTAATTATTCTCTCTTTGATATTTTAGATTCAAGTAGGAGTGAGGGAATGATATGTGCATAAAATAATTAAAAAAAAAAGGTTATTTTGGATAAAAACGTAAAGTTGTTTTTGAAGGTCGGAATATCAGTAACTTAAGATAATTTTATGATAAGATATGAGTATTTTTGGTCAAGATGTATTTTTTTAGATTGATCAACAACCGGTTACATTTCTAACGTATTTTAAAAAGTCTAAATTAAAAGTTGGGAACTCAAGATACAACTATTTTAACGAAGACAACACGATCAAAAAAATTCATGAGTCTAATTCATAATTAAAAGTTGGGAACTCAAGATACAAGTATTTTAACGAAGACAACACGATCAAAAAAATTCATGAGTCTAATTCATAATTTTTAATTATTATAAATTTTCAATATTTTTAATGATTATTTATAATTGAAGTTAACATATCACTCTTTATTATAAATGGTAGATAATTTGGGATTATATTTATTATTTATTTTATTTTGAAATTTATTTTATTAGTCTATTAGTTTATTTAATTGTCCATTTATTATTTATTTATTTATTCATCACTCTCGTTTAGTTCAAATAAAATTCTATGCATTACACCTAAATTGATTTTAGGACTTTATTAGCTTATAAATAGATTCACCTTATTTGTATTTTACATCATTTAGAAATTAATCAATATTCTTTTTTTTAAATAAATTATTGTGAGTTATTCTATTATGTTCAAATATCATGTTCTTATTTCATAGTACAAATATATAATTACGTTGCGATGAGTATTTGATATTTTCTCCATCAAATAAATAAGCTCTTCTATCTATATTCTCCCATTTGCTTTTCTTTAATTGTTTGAAGAAAAAATTAACTCTTGAAATCCATAGTTTTTTTAATTTTAAGTTGTTTAAAGATTTAATTTGAATCTTTTTTTTTTTGAATGGTAGGAGGTGATTGCAAAGTATATGTTTAAAATATTTTTTAATTATTATGTACAACTTGTAAACACGGTTATCCGAACTCATGATCTCTAAATAAATGAAACTTTTCTTAATCACTAATATCAATTACTGAATTCGACTTTTTTATCCAAAGGGACCTTTTGCACTTTGACTTGGTCCTAGCGAAACGACCACTCACTCACCTGGTCAAAATTGGAGGATGCCTCGCAAACTTAAATTTAGAGTTGGATGAATATTTATAACTTTAGGCCACTACCCACTTTATTCTACTTTATTTAGGTCACCATCCACAACCCACAAAACAAAAAAAAAAACCCCATTAATTTTGTCAATAATTGATACATCACTAGTTGCATACTATTGTGAAAGCCCAAATTCATAAGTATAAATTACAAAAAAAGTCAATTTCTTTGACCTAATTGATAAATTATAATTATATATATATATATATATTAAATTTTAAAATAATAATATTATTATTTTTGATTAAGCTAAGATGATTACAAAATATCATTTGTTCTAAATACTTTTAATTATTTGACAATGAATATTCAATCACATTTACAGTGACGGGTGTTCGAACTCATGACCTCTAAAAATAATAACGATTTTTTTAACCACAACGTAAGTTGTAAAATAGTATTATTAAAAAGTTAAAGACGATAATTATATATATAGTTATACGATATTTTTATAATCCTTTTAAGATTTTAGTGTAACTAAAAACCTTTAACTACGTTCAATTGAGTGATATGCTCTATTTAGAGGTAAACTATTAAAATATCATTTTATTTTGATGAAAATCGTTCCAAATTTAATTTATCTCAAACTAATTCATTTTTTTGTCAACTTAATTTGATCCTTACCATTTGGAGTTGTTTTGAGTCAAAATTTATCAATTGTAATTCTTTTGTTCAGTCTCAATAAAATTTAACGTAAAAAACAAATAGTTTTTGCAATCAATTAACCTAAAAAAAACATTGAATTTTACTTTAAACTAGCGAAGAAGGCAAGTCCAGGGAATAAGACCACAGTCACAAAAACACAGGTTCTAGTTACAAGTTCAACTACCCTACGCGAAATCAAAGAAATTTCAAAAATCCAATCTTTTTAAGTCAAATAATAAGGATTTATGGGGAAGTTTTTTTTTGGGAGGAAGGCCACTTGTTTGTTTTGTATTTTTTTCGTATACGTTATTAAACAAACTCTCAACTCTCTCTCCCCTTTTTATGTTCTCCTTTTTGTTCTATGCTTTTTCTCGTTCATATCTCAAAAGGGTCTCATCTTATTTCTCTATTTGTTTCTCAAATCTACTCCTTTCTTTGGCTTCTCACTGGTGGATTCTTCCTTTACAATATACAATTTGAATGCTTTTTATGCCTTCAAATTCCCAAGCTATCAACTGCTGAGCTTGATGGGTTCAAGGTATTTTCTCTTTTCTCTTTCTGGGATTTTCCCTATTTTGTTTCCTCTATAATCTGAAAAAAAACAAACAAACAAAAGTTTGATTCTTTGCTTATGGAACATCAAGTAGGTAGATTATCTAGCTTTGGGTTTTATCCAGCTGGTGTTGAATTATAAATTTTAGATGCGGATAATAAATTTATATGTATTTTTTAATTAAAACAAGGAGCTAATCCGTACTTAAAAGTGCATGTTACCTTTAATGCTACTTCCATAGATAATTCTTAACTTGGTAAGTTACCCTTTGTGCTTGATAACAAATTATACCAGCTGATCCAGTTTCTTATAAAGAAAAAGGCTTTTCTTTTGTAGTCATATCAGCTCATAACTGAAACAGGGAAGACCAAGTATGAGAAACTTGGTGTGGTAATTATTTCATTCTAAACATCTTGTTGCTTAGCTCCGTTTGTAGGTGTAAGTTGACTTGGTTCTACAATTTTATTCTTTTATCTTATCAAATATTTCATAATCGTGTAAAAGGGGAAGGTAGATAAAGCTTAATTGGGTTTGGGCATGTTATTTAGGTCTTGTTTGATTATAGACATAAGGGATAGAAAGTAATGGCAGGTTTACTATGTTTATGCCTTTGAAAGCAAGGGATTTCTTGTTGGTAAACTCATAAGTTAAGGAACCTATAGTTCCATTGTGCGCTTAGCAAATGGATCACCATTATTGGGGGTATCAGTATGTATCCATTTTATGCAAATTTCTCCCATCTGCTGGGGCTGAATCTCAAAATGTTGAAAAGAAAATGGTGCAGGTATTATTAATAATTTTGGAGTTATTATACTGAAAAAAAGAAAATGAAATTAACTTAGAATATGATTTTCAACCCCAAAAACAATAAGGAAGCTGGAAATGATGGTATAGTAGGCTTGTCACTTCTACAAATATTATTATTTATATGCTACTTTATTTCCATCAGAATCTTTTACAATAGGAAACTGAAGCACCTCTTCCCTCCCGGCTTCTTCTAACGGGTTTATAGGTCCTTTATTTTTTTTCTTGATTCATTATGCTTTCAAGATGTTTCATTATTTCTAGCAGCAATTGATTCTTGGTGCTGGAGTTTGTATGATATGAAAAATAGACAAATGAGTACTTAACCATTGTTTTGTGCTATGGTTACTGCCTATACTTTATTATGTAATACATAGTTTTCTGTTTGGAGCTCAAGACTGAGTCTTGGATATTTCTTTTGTTTGGAAGATCTTTCTCAGCATCTCTAGATTCTTCTGATGCTCATTTTGAAAGGAATGTCACCGAAAACGGCAATATGGTTCCCCTTAAGTTTCATGAGCCAAATGGGGTGCCAGATCAGGGTCATCAAGTCTCTAGTCCAATAAGAAGAGATGTTAACTGGTATTATTTATTTATTTAACTGTTTTTTTTTGGGTGCACTTGCATGATTTATTTTGCTTTTGTATTTCTAAGAAAGCTTTTCATATTACAAATTTCTAGTTTATAGTTCTCCAAATTCAAGATTTTGAATGTGGATAATGTATGTTTTTTTTAGAAATTCTTTCTCCTTCTCACTCTCAGCCATTTATTTGATTCCACCCTGTATATTGCTTATCAGAAAATTCTCCTAATGCATGAAAAGTGCAGAGATTTCTTTTAGTGAACTTTACAGCTTTGTTACTTGAGATTTTCCCATTCATTGTGTGTGGGTATGGAGAAAAGAGGATAGAAAGTGGAAGGAACATCTGTTGAAAGATAACCTTCATTCTAGTTGCCAATCAGGTTCTGCATCTAAATGGCATTAAGCTCTCCCACAGGCTCTCACACATCAGCGCGTAGAGAACCCTTTCCCTTAATGGCATTTAACCCCCTGTTTTGGATACCCAAACAACCCAGAAATTTCCCAATTTTCAAACCCTGAAATTGTTTTAATACATCTTCTAGTGTAGAATTTGAAATAGAATGCTATCTTATATTTTATTCATCAACATTATGGGTATATATAAGGTAAAGTAATATCCTACATTAATAAAGTAATATAATATATTAAATACAATAGATATCAGCCCTAATATTTAGCCTATAATTCTGTAATAGTTGGAAAACAAAATGAAGTGAGATTATTAATGATGGTTTTGATAAAATTTTCTACTGATATAGGTCGTTATCTGGTGTAAAGTTTCTTGAGAATGATGATATGGATTTGGAGGATGGTAAGTTGGAAAAGGACAGGAATAAAACAGTACGCAGTAGCAAGGCCATTCAGATACAAAATCAGGCCTTATTGGCTGGACTTGCATATTGCTTATCCTCATGCAGCATGATACTGGTAAACAAGTTTGTGCTCTCCGGCTATGATTTCAATGCTGGGATATCCTTGATGCTATACCAGGTATTTTACTGAAACTGTTCAATCGTTATGTTAGGAATTTTTTTCTTAATTTCATAGCAGCAGTTTTTTACACGTGATGCAGAACTTTATATCGGTTGTTATTGTGTCTATACTGAGTTCTATGGGCGTAATATCAAGAGAGCCTCTAACATGGAGGTTGATTAAAGTATGGTTACCTGTGAATGTCATATTTGTTGGAATGCTTCTTACAAGCATGTTCAGGTATGAAATGCATTTCTAGTATGGTCATCTAATTGAATCTGTGTTTGATGTTACTTTTATATTTCCATCATCGTGGCATTTCATTGTTATGGCTGATTTTGCATTATAGGACTTAGTAAGTGTTGAATTTGGTATCTAAATATATCTGTGCTCAATAATCTCTAATCTTATCACCCCTAGGTGATTTCCCAATTTCAAGACAAATATGCTTATTTCTGAATCTATCATTTTTTTTTCTCTTGCCACGCATCTACCTTAGCACGTGCATTTCAACTACAGTCATCTTTTGTATATGTTACTTCTTGTTAGCCCAACATTTCATACCATATAGTGAAGTAGGTCTGCTGTCCAATAGAACCTCCCTTCAAACACAAATGATATTGCAATCATGCAAAACCCTTGGTGCACTTCTCCAATTAGGCCACCGAGCCTTAATTGTATGGTTAGTATCTCCATCAGTCATTATGACATTGAATTATCGCCCCTAGGTTCTTAAAGTGCTATGCGATTGGTATCACTTGATGTTTAAATTTGATCACATCTTTGACCGTAGTTCCTTATTTTACTAAACATGCACTCTATATACTCAGTAATTGATTTTGATGTTTGGTTTTATAATTTCTTGAAGAATCCCAGAATATGGTCTATAGCAATTTTACTTATTATTTTTCCTGAGATTAACTTAGGTGGAAGTAGTTGGAACATTCAGTTGTTAGGGCATAGCCACTCGTTGCACTTTTTTAAAAAGGTTATTTGCATAAAAGACAAGCTGTCATGAATGATTGGTGAAAGCTCAACATAGTAAATTCATCTATATTGTAGCTTTACTGTGATTTTTATTGCTTTCTGCAGTTTGAAATATATCAATGTAGCCATGGTCACGGTCTTGAAGAATGTTACTAACGTAATTACTGCAGTAGGTGAAATGTATTTGTTCAAGAAGTATCATGATAGCAGAGTGTGGACTGCTTTGTTCTTAATGGTATGTTTATTGGATCGGTTTGTTCCAGAAAAGAGAATACGGGACTGGGAATACTGGATCTCATAGTTTATCTCATTTTGGTATAATCACATTTATTTTCCACCAATATTCATTTCCAAATATCCATGCATACTCATAGTTTGTCCTTTTATGTAACTTCAAAAGAATTTTCCATTAATTGGAGTATCTATAAAGAACCTGGTTCTTTATTATGATGGTCTTATCTACCATAGAGATACTTAAACATAGTCTGCCAAGTAATCAGCATAACATGGATTATTGAACTTGGTCTGCTATTACTTGTAGAGCACTTGTCAAGTTGTTTCCAAAAGAAATATTAGAAGATTGTCACTTTTTACATGCTCTGCTATAAAGATTAATGAGCATAACAAGATCTTGCTTCTGTATTGCGCAGATTGTTTCAGCAGTTTCTGGAGGGATAACAGACCTGTCATTTCATGCCATTGGATATGCATGGCAGATTATAAACTGCTTCTTAACTGCATCATATTCTGTGAGTATATATAATGAGATTGTGTGAAATATGAAATGGTGTTTAATGCTTAATATAATAAACTCCGTTAGCCAAATTTCTGTTCATAAATCAATTGCTGATGTTTCAAGCTTCATTTGGTGTCTGCAAAATGAAAGCCTACTTGTTGTAGGAAGAAAGGTTAATAAAAGTGTCAAATTGCGGCTATCGGATTAAATATCTACATGCAGACAATACATTAAGTTAATAAAGGATCAGCCTTTTTGCCTCAAGTTAATGAGTTAATACTTTAGAGTTTTTTATATGGATCTTGAATTTCTGGGCTATCTATTTTGGAATGATATACTATGAGATTAAAAAGAGATATCACTAGGTAATAAAGCAAATATCATGTTAACATACCATTACTCATACTGTCTTTGCTTATATAGTGCAAAATATCATGTGCATAACAAGTCTATGATATGGGAAGTGTTAAAAACCATAGTGTAAGTGAGATCAGTAGCTTGTGTCAAGTAAATGAATATTTCTTGGTCAAGCTTCTGGCTGAAGGTTTATCGTGCACCTAAAGTAATGCTAATGTGATAGTTGAGACTTGAGATGTTTAAGACATCCATGTGTCATATTTATTGGGATCTAATATCTGAAATTATTTTGATTCACTAGGGGTTTTACTGAAATTTCAATTCCTTGTGCATCCCAAGTGTTAAAATAAGTTGTGCCTTGAATTTCTATTCTTTTTTTTATAGGAATTGAAGGCCTCATTAAAAACCTCTTTCTTGATTAGAGAGACTTAAAGAGAAGCTCCTTAATCAGCGGAAGGAGGAAAAGAGTGCCTTAGGATTTCATTGAACATAACACCAAAATACATCCAGATATCGACCCCTTACATAAATGAAATTTCTTGGTCAAGCTTCTGGCTGAAGGTTTATCGTGCACCTAAAGTAATGCTAATGTGATAGTGAGACTTGAGATGTTTAAGACATCCATGTGTCATATTTATTGGGATCTAATATCTGAAATTATTTTGATTCACTAGGGGTTTTACTGAAATTTCAATTCCTTGTGCATCCCAAGTGTTAAAATAAGTTGTGCCTTGAATTTCTATTCTTTTTTTTTATAGGAATTGAAGGCCTCATTAAAAACCTCTTTCTTGATTAGAGACTTAAAGAGAAGCTCCTTAATCAGCGAAGGAGGAAAAGAGTGCCTTAGGATTTCATTGAACATAAGAACACCAAAATACATCCAGATATCGACCCCGTACATAAAACAAACACCAAAAACCCCCATAGCAGCAACAGTAGCTCAACCTAATATCAACCACAATAGCCTCTAAAGGACTAACCCAACTAAAAGCCTAACTCTTGACTCGGAGAGCACCAGAAAACAGAACTCCTAAAACAGTGACAAAAAATGACAGTTGGCTCAAACCATAGTATCCACAAAAAACACAAACATCCAGGAGCTTCCATCCACACGAAGAGGGCAAAAACCAAACTATAGACTCTCCAAAGCTGGAAAATGGAATCATAATCTGGCTCCCAGAACAGACAAATCTCCCTCACATTGAACCTTCTATTGCTGTTTGATTGGCTGTATCAGGCCATTAATTGGGGACCCGAAACTTTCTCTACAACCCGATATATCTCTGCCATCCGCTGTCAACCACCCCCCAACCTGTTTGGCATCCCCATCCTGGTGGGCCTCCACCCCTTGGAACTACTAATAGCACGACTCTTGATAATGTTAATCACGTTCTTCATCACCTTTGTCTTTAACCGATCACCTAAGTTGGATGAATCAAAAAATCCAATATTCTCTCTATCACGTGTAGACATACAACTTTCGCTGCTTTCAAAAACTGACTCTCTAGCCCCTTGATCCAGCACATTCTCGTTTGACGGTTTGTAATAATTTGAAACAAAGCCCTTTCAAAAGAACCTGGATTCACAGATCCTTCGTCAATGGAGATAAGTTCTCCCATTTGTCTCAATGCTTCTGAAGGTGGAGGGATTCCACAAAACGGTGGGATCCCTTTGCACGAAAGCCACGCCCGACGGCTTGCAATGAAAGTTTTCCGACCACACTTCTACTTTGCCAAACATTTATTCAATGCCCCTATCTGATTATTCAGCGTGAATCCCTACTCTCATCATCTTCAAAAATGATTAGAACTGCTAACCGCTTAGCCTCATGATTTTCGGCCTAAATGCCTTCCTATGCATTATGGCAGCCAACTCATCATCTTAAAAATTCTGCACCACCCTACCAAGCTGCCTCTGCAAGATAGCAGCTTGTCCTCGTCAACAGAACCCACAATGGGAGCCTCTAAATGCCCAACATCCTCCCTTTTACTCTTGATCTCGGCTGGTTTTAAACCCGAAAACTTCTTTCTCCAAAAAGCTTCCCGGGGTTGAAATCTGGCCAAAAACTCTAACTTCATTACCGCGAATCCTAGATCTGTCAACACAGTTGATAGCCTTCCTTGCGTCCTCCAATCTGGTAAAAACGAACAAAGCCAAACCTACTTCCTCCCTTGCTTCTTTTGTTAGGGATGAAAGAATCGACCACCTCCATGTTTACGAATAACAGCCAAAGCCCTTTATGATGAAGACGCTCTGGAATGTTGAAAATGATCACCGTAAAACAAATTTTCCCAGCAGAACTTTCACCTTACTTGCCATCATAATACAAAAAGAGAGATTGACGGTTTGTAATAATTTGAAACAAAGCCCTTTCAAAAGAACCTGGATTCACAGATCCTTCGTCAATGGAGATAAGTTCTCCCCCATTTGTCTGCAATGCTTCTGAAGGTGGAGGGATTCCACAAAAACGTGGATCCCTTTGCACGAAAGCCACGCCCGACGGCTGCGCAATGAAAGTTTTCCGACCACACTTCTACTTTGCCAAAACATTTATTCAATGCCCCCATCTGATTATTCAGCGTGAAATCCCTACTCTCATCATCTTCAAAAATGATTAGAACTGCTAACCCGCTTAGCCTCATGATTTTTCGGCCTAAAATGCCCTATGCATTATGGCAGCCACTCATTCATTAAAAAAAATTCTGCACCACCCTACCAAGCTGCCTCTGCAAATAGCAGCTTGTCCTCGTCACAGAACCCACAATGGGAGCCTCTAAATGCCCAACATCCTCCCTTTACTCTTGATCTCGGCTGGTTTTAAAACCCGAAAACTTCTTTCTCCAAAAGCTTCCCGGGGTGAAATCTGGCCAAAAAAACTCTAACTTCATTACCGCGAATCCTAGATCTGTCAACACAGTTGATAGCCGCCTTGCGTCCTCCAATCTGGTAAAACGAACAAAGCCAAACCTACTTCTCCCTTGCTTCTTTTGTTAGGGATGAAAGAATCGACCACCTCTCCATGTTTATCGATAACACCAAAGCCCTTTATGATGAAGACGCTCTGGAATGTTGAAATGATCACCGTAAAACAAATTTTCCCAGCAGACTATTCACCTTACTTGCCATCATAAGACAAAAAGAGAGATCAAAGAAAGAGCTGTAAAAAAAACGCCTAAAAAACTAGAGAGAAGCTTGAATTTCTATTCTTAGCCTTGAACTCTCAAAAGTGAACCAGGAAATAGTTGCAAGTTCAGTCTGTTGGATTCATCTCTAGTTCATTCATTCTGTTCTAAATCTAAAATCATAAATGATTGATTGTTCATTTTTTTTTTATTATTACTGGTGCAGCTGACTTTGCGTAGGGTCATGGATACTGCAAAGCAGGTCACCAAATCTGGAAACTTGAACGAATTCTCAATGGTCTTGCTAAATAATACACTTTCATTGCCCTTGGGGATTCTTCTTATTTTTGTTTTCAATGAGGTCGATTATCTATACACAACGTGAGTGTTTTTATTCCCCTATCATTGTTCATGTTACAACTTCGTAGAATCCTGTATTTATTTGCTTTATTATAATTTGTATTGTAGACAAATATAGACGTCCACTCTTTCATGGTCTGATGTTTTAATTCACAATGGAAGACATTCCATCAAGCAAATAACCCCACGAATAGCTTTTACTTTCGCTTAACTATGGATTCTGGTACATTTCTTATTTTAGATTTCTTTGGCATCTCACTCCCTTCAACTTACTTTGACAGGCCACTTCTAAGAAGGCCGGACTTCTGGTTGATAACGACTTTAAGTGGATTTTTGGGTCTAGCGATCAGTTTCACTTCAATGTGGTTTCTTCATCAAACAGGAGCTACCACGTACAGGTAAGATGAAAAAGGACCTAAAGGCCAATGCCCATAGTTACATTTAGCTTTGTATGATTAGACTGAAATATCAAACAAACGTTTCTAGCTTTTGAGATTAACAGTGTTACACTGCATTTTCTTTAGAAGTTGGGTTATGCTAGAGCAGAGGCAATGTTCTTTTATTGGCCCATCATTTGCGAAAAGTTAATCGTGTTGTAGCGTGCACTTCGACCTGTTATTGCAAGCTGAATACAGCTTGAATTCTTTAAGCTATGGATTTAGGAAAAGAATCAGTAGTCCTTAAACTGAACCGGTGTATGGAATTAGAATGCCATATCCCTGAAATGACTTTGTACTTGTGTAACTAGTGGTTAAAAAGTATATAAGTAGATGGATTCACTTATTTCGTTATCTTGCAGCCTGGTGGGATCGTTGAATAAAATCCCTCTCTCTATAGCTGGAATTGTTCTTTTCAAGGTCCCCACTAGTTTGGAAAACTCTGCTAGCATTTTCTTTGGTAAGCACTCAGAGGAATGGAACTACGTTTCTGCCTATGTTATAGTCAAACCCTTTTATAAGATGTCATTGCCATTGCATTTCGCAGGTCTTTTGGCCGGAGTGTTTTTCGCGAGAGCCAAAATGCGGGAGAAATCTCAATCTTAAGAGCGTTATTGTAGCAATATGTATGTATGTATACGGTGCTTGCATCCTGTGAGTGAAGGTTTGCAAGTAACATACACCCTGTGACAGCTTTTGAGCATTGTTCAAGTGTCAACCAGTTTTCATGGAAGACAGCAAAATGGGGTGGTGGAAAATTAGTTCCCAGTAGAAGTTTGTATGCTGTGAGGATGGTGGGGAACCGATAATTGGGAGTTGCTTTGAGTTTAGCATCTGTTTTTTATGCTCTTATGTTGTATTTGTATTGGGGGATCTTGTTCTTCTCGTTTTACCTTTATTTTTCTAGTATCCTTGATTGTAATTTGTGCAACCTTGAGCCAACTTCAATTTGAAATAGGGAAAAAAGGTTCACTCAATTATTTTGCACATACATATAAAAAAGGCCTAATGGTATATAACTCTCTCAATTATTTGAGAAAAAATGAACGACTCGTTAAGTTATTTTGCATCTAATGTGATCTGTAAACTGTGGGAAAAAATTGATATGATTATTTGATTAACAAAAGTTGTAGTTAGTTATTAGATATTAATACGTCGGTTCATTAGGTTGATATAATGGTTTACTGATGTTATAGTAGATGATGTGATATGGTAGAAAGATTTAATTGATTCTTTTAGGAAATTAAAGAGTTCATTTAATTTTTAAGAGAAAAATTTAAAAATTATTTAAAATTTAATATGTACATAAATATACAAAATTAAATTTTTTAAAAGTTAATTAAAAACAGAAAAATTAAAAAACACTATTACAAATTTTAAAAATATCACAAGGTATAAAATCATAAATTATAAATTATCAAAAATTAAAAATGTTCGAATATTTCTTAATCATTGATAACACACACAAACCTTATAGACACAACAGTTCAAATCCGGGTCCTCTAAGAAAAAATCGCATTTTCTTTTACCATTGAGGTCTATCAACGGTTTCAATTTTTTTTTTTTGAATTGACGGTTTCACTTTATATATACGTTTAGATTTAATGACAATGTATTTTGTCATATAATCACACTCGTACCATTTAGAACACAAGACAAAACAACATATTCAATTATTTTATAACCAAATCACATCCATTTTTTTTGTATTTATTATTTAATCTTATTTCATTCGTTTAGATATATGTTTCCAAAACATGTACATATTATCACTTTTGCATATAATTCATATTTCAGTCATATCATATAGACATACATACATGCTTTCACGTCAAGAATGTTTGAAACATATCATTTAGCTCAAACATCATATGCTAATGTTACAAACATATCATATATTGTACACAATATATACATATAATCAGGGGCGGAGCTAGGATCAAACATTAACTAAGAACAACGATCTAAAACAAAATTTTCATTTAATTAATATTTAAACTAACAGGGATCTAAATATATTATTATACCAAAAATATTAAGGGAATAGCCCCTTCACCCAAAAAATGGCTTCATCCCTCCATATAACTTATAGGCACAAAGATAAATGAAGCATATTTATATAGTCAAATTAGTTAAGTTAGCATACTTTTAATTATATATATATATCAATCATCATAACATATATCATACATGTTTGCATACTAAATATATTTTTTCATTATCTTACATCCATATCATTAACACTTATACAAGATATTCTCATCCAATTAGTTGAGATTTAAGAATTTTACATCGGAACATAAATACGAAACATCTAAGTTATTTAAATCAATAGTACATATATCTAATTATATTTCAACTAATTTAAGAGACTATATACAAGGTTTTTTTGTTGTTGAAACAAATCACTACTTTTATTCAAAATAGGAAATATCCTAAATTACAATAAAAATTTACAATCATAATCGTAAGTTAAACACATAATTAGGACAATTTCCTATAATCATTTAAACAAAACTAGTAACTTTAGATCACATAAGGACCATACAAGGAAAGATTAAAATCTAACAAAGAAAATTCGAACATAGATAGATACAAACATGTTTGATCGAATCGGCAAACAAACCACAAAAGGGGATTAAGCTACTGAAAGACCACTGACAAACTGCAAATCAGACTCGAGCGACATGAAAAGCTATCCACGAACGCATAACGGGTATCCAATTCCAATCTGAGAGTCCAAAGCAGGAATATTAACAATATAGCAGATAAATGTCATCTTGATCAGCCGTGACGATATCTAATTAACCCTTAAAAAAGATAAGTTAAAACAACGACCAAAATAGACTTAAAAATATACCAAAAGGAAGAAGAAAACGTGTCATAAAAGCATAGAAAAATATGTCATATAGACATACTTATTGAAAATAAAAAAATGAAAAAAAATAAAAAAATAATAAAGAATACTCACGATCGACAACCAACATTAAAGTTGCCGCAAGACAAAATTAAAATAGACGAACATCGTATCAATGAAAAAAAAAACTAGAAGAGAAAAATCGTATATACAAGTTAAATTTTAATACATCACATAATATGCTAGTATATAAAACGTACTCACTTCACTTCTTTCCGAATTCGAATTTGTTTATAGCCTATATTAAAACGCACTCACCATTTTTCTCCCAAGTAATTTATGGAATAGGTTATTTTAATATATATTTAATATAGGTTTTGTGCGTAAAAAATCATTTTCTTTTGGTTGGTTAGTTCTTCTAACGAAAGCAAGTCGCAGCGTTTGTACTCCAGCGACATCGTTTAGGGATAGTAGATCGGAAATGGAAGCCTCACAGTCGCAGGTATCAACGAACGCACCACAAAATTCCAATCCTAACAACAATAGCAATTCTATACTGTCATCGACGCCGGTATGGCCCACAATCGACGGTCCCTTGGGCCTATCAGAGGAAGAATCGTTATCCTACGCTCTGAGGTTCTATAAGTTCGGCTACTCGCTTCTCCCTTTGCTTTGGGCCGTTAATTGCTTCTACTTCTGGCCCGTTCTCTGTCACTCTCGCTCCTTCCCTCGCCTTCGCCCCTGTAACTATCAGTTCTTACTCGTGTTCTTCAATATTTCGTTTACTTATTTTATTTTAGAAATTTTCGATTTCTTTTCCAAGTTCTTGCTGATGCTTTGCATTTATCGACTTGATCACGATTCAGCATTAGTTGTTTTTCCCCTCTCGTTGTAAATTTTATGTGGTTCCTTACTGATGCTTGATCTGCATTTTTGTTTATGTTTCTAAATGGCATAATAGTGAAGAAAAAAGGCTGACTTAATTTTATATGATTTTGCTTTTCTATTGAACGATTATGATTGTATGTTATAATTAGTTATTTGCTAATCACTAGAATATTTAGACTAATAGAATTTAATCTATTTTTAAGTTCACAGTTTGTTAGTGAAAGGAAAAAAAGAAATGGATTTGTCATTGTTAAATACTTCTATGATCTTGCGATAATCATTTCCCTTTTTAATCTAAGTTGCTTTGGCCTACATAATTGCAAGTAAGTAGCTATTATTCCTTTGTAGTCTGAACCAAATAAATCAGAGCTTCCGTACAATTTCATTGAAATGCAATAAGCTTATTTGAGGTCTGACATCACAATCTGGAATATCGCTGAGAATTTGGTTTGCCAATTGTAATTACTTACAGGCAAAGTTGAAAGTTATACCATTTAACTTTTTCAGTTATTCTGCTCCATAATTGCCATTGCTGAGATGGATAGATAAATAGTTTGGTGTTGCAAACAACAGTTTTCTCTTCCGTTCTCTTGGCCTGTATTCTATGGAGAAGCAAGGAACTAGTTCTATTCAGTATTGCTCATAGTTACAAGGAACTTGATATGTACCAATTCACCGTACATGTATGGGAATGAAGTACATCATCCAGTTAATTTGTGGTACAATCGGTTTGCTACGTAAGATTTTGGTACCAGAAGGCATGCAGTTATCAAAGGAGCCTCACCTTGAGGTTTAGAAGGTGCATTTCTTGTTTAGTGCTGCACCTTATCATGTCTAGCTATGTTCCTTGGTCCTCTATAGCACTTGTTAAACAGGGGTTCTACAGTGTAAAGCTGTATTAGCAAACAATATAACCTTTAGTAATGTTCTTTAACAAAATATTTTTCTGTCCACTGAATGCTCTATAAAGCTTCTGCAAGTATGAAGTCTTTTGGTCACTTTGGTAGATTGGTTGGTAAAAGTAACTGAAAATACTATCTTTATGAAGGATACATTTATGAACAGTGAAATATAAACGTTTAGATAAGAATCATGTGGAATTGGCATTGACAGTTTGACACATATGTATTACTTAATCCAATTTTGTTTTTGTTTTGACAAATACCGCAATAACTAATTTTGTGTAGGATAGTGTTTTCTTTGAATATAAATTAGGAAAGGCTTCAGTTGGCCCAGTAAGTTGTTAAGGCATATGCCTTGATGCTAAGGTGCAGCAGTAAATAATAAGCATCATGTACCTAGCAAGAACTAGAAGAGTTGCTTGTGATCAGGCACATGCCATGTGTACTTGGGTGCAGGTTTTTTAGGTGAAGCGTTGAGAAAGTTCATCTAACTAAAGTCTCTTTGATTTCTTTTGCATTTCTTTTCTCAATCCTTATCTTAGTAAAAGAAGGACAATATCTAATCTCTATAGAAAGGGATATTTATATATGCTCTTACTTCACTCAATGAGTGTGTTATTTTTGTGCCCTGGACAATTGAAGGGTTTTAGTACCTTAGAGTGTGCCTTCTGCTCTTGATAATAGATCTTGTTCAACTTATCCTTTTTTTTTATTCTTTTGGGTGAAAGTTGAGATAGTTTAAATGATAATACTCGACTTAAAATGTTTTTCATCTTAATTTATCCTTTAATAATTTTATTCTCCGTCAAAAGTTGTGTACCTTTTTTCTCTTGGCAAACAAATATACACACTTCCAAATAAATTGTTGATATTGTTAGAAGATTTTGGTTTTATATCTTCTTCAATTTACATTTGGGACATTAAAAAGGATGGCATAATAAACTTTTCTTTTGGGTGGATGGGGTGATATTGTGAAACATCTTGATATTCATGATTTTGTTTGAACCAAATCAATCATTAGATTTCTCACATTGTTCTTCCAGGTTCTTTGCATCTTTTTCCCCCTGCGAAGTCTAGGATTATTGTTCATTTGTTATAACAAACATTTATTTTTGCAGATGTTGTGGCATCAGCAATTGGGTTTTCAGCTCTTTTGTGTGCTTGGGTGTTGACATTTGCCATAGGAGGAGAACATCTTTTCGGTCCTACCTCGGATCAACTGGTAATGTATAATGTTGCAGACCGGTTAGGTTTGACAAGTTGGAGTTAGTCATCTTCCGTTTCAAAAAGTTATGGCTGCTAACCTTTGCTTTGCATTATCAATCCCTAAACTCGAAAGAAGGGAAAAGAGATGGCATGTGGAATGAATTGTTTAAAAACATTCATTTGAAGTCGAGATGTGTATATTCTGATTGTTGAACCAAAGCTGCTGCTTTTGTAATCAAAATTGTCAGACTTTCTAAGGCTTAAGAGCTTGATATGTATAAGCAATGCAGTCAAGCATGAGAGCTTTTTTGGGGATTAAATATTTGTTTGGTACATGGACTATACCTCAATTATATACCATAACCTTAGGGTGTACGTCAAAATCTCTCGTCGAACAAACACACACCGGAAAGGTCATTGGCTAAGCTTTGCCCCCCGTTCATGTTCTATAGGGACATAATCTGCAAGAGAAGCTAGGTTGAAATTATGATGATTCACAGTAGATTTTAGCAAGATAGAGAATACAAAGATTGCTAAACAATATGTGCAACAGTGCAAGCCAAAGAAATTATACCGTAATTTTATAGTGGCAAAAGTAACACATTCAACCTCAATCTGCCTGAGAATAGAAAGCACCGCAAAATTTAGATTCCAAAGTGGAAATTAAAGGTTGGCTTGCCACATACTTTAAATGGAACCAAATAAACCATGAAGAGTGAACTTTGCCAATAAAAGGCAATCTCACCATATCCACATTCCATCACAATCAATCACAATCATTAATCCAAATCATAGTACATCACTCCTTTTCAAATATCCCCAATCACAAATCCTATTATTATACTCAATTACTTCATAAAAACAAAAATAAAATAATAAAGAAAAGTAAGGTTTATTTTCTGTAGTAAGCAATGGCAGCCATGAACTCCAGCGTTTTAGCCTGCAATCTTGAGCGGTGAATCATCTGGTCTTAGTGCCAAGGCACCATCAGTTGCTTCCACGGTCGTGCCTGGTGGTCACAGGTCGCGTGTGATCAGAGCTCAACAGACTAAAGACACCAAAGAATCAGGTGGCAGTGAAGGAAGAAGAGCTACTATGCGGTATTTGGCAGCTACCCTTTTCACCACAGCCGCCGCTTCTTCCGCAAATGCCAGTGTCATCGATTATTAAATCGAAAAGAGCAAAGCTAACAAGGTATGTTTGCTATGAAAATTGAAAAGATAGTGGAAACATGGTTGGGGGGTTTCTTCAGGTTTCAAAATAGATTAAGCTGGGGAAGCGCAGGAATTGAATGACAAGAAGAGGTTAGCCACAACTGGAGCAAACTTTGCGAGAGCATACGCTGTTGAATTAGGCAGCTGCAAGTTCCCTGAGGACTTTACTGGGTACCAAGATCTTGCAAAACTAAAGGTTCCAACTTTCGTTCTCTTGTTTCTTCAACAAGTTTATTAGGTTGATGATGAGATTAAATTAGGTTGAGAATTTCGTTTGTTGGTTGCAGAAAGTACAAATACAAGTGCGGTTCCAATGTTTTCTGGAAATGGTGAAGAGATCCCAAATGTAATTTTCACTTAAAAACCTTCCACTCTACCTCAATCATGTACCTAATTTTCTCATTTTTCCTTGTATTGTTATGCTCTTATTTCGTAAAACACCCGGAAATTAATCTGGATTATTAGTGCTGTAAATGAATCTAGTAGAACTCTAGTATTGTTGAACTCCACTCGAAATGTTTAAAATTGAGCTTGATTCGCAAACTCGCGAATTTAAAATTGTCAAGTTTGACTCGAACTCGAAATAAAAAATTAAAACTCAAACTCTAGTTTAAAAAAACGACATTCTCGAACTAGCTTATTTTTGCAGAATCTATGCATCAAAATTTTAAAAATGCAAATATCAAATCTATGTATATTAAAATATCAATAAATAATATATACCACCATACACATGAGATACATTTTGTTACACGTGTGAAAAAAATATAAATCAACACTTAACATCACACTGTAATACAGTCAAAACCAGAAAAAAAACTGTCAACCCAAGCAACCCAACTGCTCAATGAATGATATGTATTTTGACAAAAATGCAGTATGCATGAATCTCATATCTAATCTCACAAAATTGGACCATCTCCTCCATCCAGACCATAATTTCATGAGCAACTCAAACCCTTGTCATTTTTATCATATGGTTCACCTTTATGGTCTGATTTGTTCGAAGTGTCTGTGTCCATGGGTGAAAATTCCATATGCACTCGGGAAGGAACTCACCTTGAAACTTTGAGCCTATGAGCAACATGCTGAGGAGCCATTGTTCTGCAAGTGGGGACATGGCAATGGGAACACTGAATCTGCACAACCGGAAACAAACTCACAGTGCCATGCTGCAGTTGGGGAAAGTCCAAGTAAGGTAAGGTTCTTGAAGCATAACCCTTCAAATGATGCATCGTGAATACCAGCCAGTACCGGAGCCTTTGTTGAATTCAAACTAAAAATGTTACTAATGAAAATCCCCTTTATTTTAGGCATGGCCTTAGGATCCCATCCGTCGTCTGGGTGATCATTGGAGCCTCTACTGAGCCTAATAGGAATTTTGACTCGTTCCATAGTTATATTTCTTATGGTGATATTCGCAATGTATCCCCCTCTTCCCTTGTCAGTCTTTATACGGACCCCAGCTGCCGAATTCCAAACGTGCATATCTTCGATAGTTACATTAAAAATCCCTCCAGACATCTCACTCCCAATACCAACACCTGAACAAGTTGGTGTAGTGCCTGAGATTCTCCTCACTTTTATGTTTGAGCTTGGTCGTGCCATTCTGATGCCATATTGGTCCCATCCACTTTTCACTGCTACAAGATCATCTCCACTCTCGATATAGCAGTCTTCAATGCATACATTGGTACTTGAGTCTGCACACAGTTCGATGAGGATGTCGGAAAAGATGTCTCTATTATGAGATTTAGGTTGTTCATATTAGATGCAATACTGTATAAGGCACACACGAAGACGGTGAATGAGATTGACATACCTGGGTCTATTCCATCAGTATTTGGGGCATTCAGTGGAGCCAATATTTTCATGCCCTTAACAACTACATTGCTGAAAGAAAAAGTAGAAAAACTAACGATTAGTTACTTTCTTATAATTGTAATATTCGAGAAAACTGTGAGAAGTAACATCTGGATACATAACAGAATCTCTCAGTTCTTTTCGTTGTCTTACAAGTAATTCTGGGGTGTAAGTGTCTAAATGAGAGAAGGTGCATAGTTGGGAAATCTTAAGATATTAATATTCACTCTCTTAAAACTGATTTTGCAGCCAAAATTATTTTTTCCGGCTTTGCAAACACTATCAAGTGCCAGGGGATGCATCTCACCTTCACATTGGATCAAAAGAGGTTGACACTTTTACCTTAATAAAATTAAATATTCAAGCTCAAAAAAATAAAAGCATACAAAATAAATGGATAAATAAATGAAACTAGATGAACTACTACAAATTAAGATATGTCATACCTGCAGTAAATAGGATGAATGGTCCAAAACGGCGAATTCTGGAAGGTTAAGTTAGAGATAAGAATGTTGTGAGAGTTCATTAGCTCTACAAGGTGGCCTCTCGTGTGGTTTAGTGTTCTGTTCCACCACAATTCCCACCACATTCGACCTTGACCATCAATTGTCCCATTATTCCCTACAGCATTAGAACAACTCATCACACATAATTAATAAAACCTACACATCAGGTACAAGTTTCATGGTAGAAGTTGTCGTAGTAATGGTAAATTTTCTAAATAAGGTAAATGACGTCACTAGTCTAGTAGAAATAAGCGCCAATTTGCTTTTCAATATAAGGCACAAGCCTGCAAATCAAAAGGATTTAACTTTTTTACCAATATGTGCCTGATTAGTTCAATCCAACTAGGGCATACCAAAAAAAAAAAGGAGTCCTATGGTGGCTTCCATTGAAATTACCATCCATTAACAATTTATTAGCTGCTTAAGATCCCTCTGAATATTTATTGAACATTCAGAATAAGGAGATGATGTTTCTATCGGTGATCAGCTAAACGGAATTAATAATTCTTTTTCTTCAAATGAATGCGAATGCAATATGTAAATCCATAATACCATTCTGGGGTAGCTTTAGCTAATTCAAATACAATAAAGAATAACATACACATCAGGAAATAAATGTAATGCTACTTCACTCTCCATATAAAATGATATCAAGGTAAACCTTGTGCTTTTATGTATCCTGGACATGAAGAACAACTAAAAGAGCACTCAGGGGAGTCCATTTACACTGGAGAACTAAAACAAAGGGGGTCCATATTTGGTTTTACGGGCAATGAGAACATCTTGATATCATTTATGTAAAAAACAACTCTTCTTTCCTTTTCATGTTATCACGAGAAATCAAAATAAAATTACCTGTAATGACAACATTGGTAAGACCATTTCCATGAATAAGGCTTATGTGTCTTCCTCCCAATCTCTCTCTCCCTCTACCATAAGAAGGCAATGGCTCTACAATAGGCCATTCCTCAGGGTCCTATCATTCATAAACACAAAATTAAAAATCCGTAGTTTTAGCAACAAATTTAAATAAATGATAAACAACTACACTAAAACATTTCCTCTTTTTCAAGATTTATAATAAATGTAGACCAGAACTGTGATAAACCATAATCGACCTCCATTGCACTTATATCTTAGGCACAAAGTTGATAAACAAATTAATGGAATGACAGATATAAATTAAAATGTCCAACTATATGTCTATTTCATTAAACAAGCTGTTGGGGAGTGATAAACAAGTTTCTAACTCAACCAACTTGATTCAATGAACCCAAAACAAATGCATAACCTAATTTGATCAACACATTCATGGCATTCTCTTTTCCTCAATAGAATCAACGAAGCCTACAAGAGAAAACATCTCAATTTTTTTTGAATAGTCAGGAATATTACAAGGTAATATCTAGACGTTTTGCCATCGCCAACTCCCCCGAAGTCCTTCAACGACATAACGTGTTTCCTGATCGGAAACTCCCCGAAAAACGCGGCGCAACTTCCGGGATCAAAACTGGATTCGAAGTGGGGTCCGGATGATCCAGAAACGGGAAAGAACGGAAACGGAAGAATAGATTTTGGAAAGATTTGAAGAGAGAAGATTGATATGACTGTAAAGAGTAGAACAAGGAAAGCCCATGAAGGCTTTGTGAAGTAAACCATTATTGCACCATAATTTGGCTTCTCAGATTCCATTTTTTTTCGATTGCTGTAAACTGAAAGAATTAAAGGTAAAAATTTCCAAAAAAAATTGAGATTCAAAATAGAATCGAAGATTTAAAATGAAAAAAAATGTTTGTTCTAACGAGATAGAGGAATAAAACAGTGGGCTGTCCTGTGTTATTCTGCATACACGTTAGGAAGGATGATGAAGAGGGAGAAGGGCGGTGTCTGAGGGCGTATTATAGCAACGCGGCTTAATCTATGAAAGTATTTTTCAAATGTAAAAGCGTAAACTACCTATTTGGTCAGCTATATATTACGTAGTTTATGTTTGATCACCCATTATTAAAATTTTAACGGTAAATTTGACGTGTTATTATAAGATAATATCATATCAATATCTAAAAGAATTTAAAAATATCACATCAAAATCACTATTAATTTTTAACTACATTTGATTAAAACAGAACTGAAACATAATATTAGATATGATTTGTTAAATGACCAAAACAGAAATTAAGTAATAAGTAAGTGACCAAACAGGTAGTTTACCCAATATAAAATTTAGTTTCGTGATCCGATTTGTACGGGTACAAGAGTTGTAGCCAAAGAGAAAACCAGAAGAAACAATCCCACCAATGGTTAGCTGCCACATGTAAAATTTAAAGTGTAATACTGGTGAAACGCGTGTCTTTTTGAACAAGGGCCTGTCTCATGCCGCTCCTCACGGGGTCTTCCAAAGTTGTTTCAACTGTTTTTTATGTAATTAAAAAATATTTAAAGAGGTTTTGCTGTGTGTTTGCGGGTGCATATAGAGGGTTTTACTTATGAATTTTTGGAGCAATCATGATCGTATACGTGTGGCAAAAATGTACTCTAATCCATTGCCTCACTGTTAATACTCCATAATTAGACTATCTTTTTGACCAGATTTTTTTTTAGTAGTTAACATCGATGAAATCATTAGGAAAGCTGCAAACTTAAAAATAGATTGTAAATACGCAAACCATTGCTTAAAGAAATTATTGTCGTTTTAAAGGTTATCAGTTCGAGTATAAATGATTACATATCAAATGATTAAAAATATTTAGAATAAATATTATTATTTTTAGATAATTCCATATTCATTACCTAAGAAAGCAGGAAACATGCTACAAGAAACCAGTTTACTACGTAAACAACAAGTTAACGACTACTATACAAGCAGGAAACATGCTACAAGAAACCAGCTTACCACATAAACAACAAGTTAACGGCTACTATACAACCAACAACCAATGAAACAAGAGAACAAAGAATACCCTAATTCACGAGATACCCCAACTTACACAAAGGGTAGCATTTCTCGAGTCAACTCTGTTGATAGTCCAGCCATTCAATCGAATCCGGATGGTTTCTCTAATATCATCCAGCACATCATCCACCAGCCTAGGATTTCCCCCAAACAGTCTACTATTTTTCTCCTTCCAAATGCCATACACATAACTAGCCAAAGGGAGCTTAAACACTCTCACAATGAGAGACTTACCTTTGAAAAAATGGATAACCCATGCCAATTCTCTATCCTAGTGGCCGACTCTACGATTGACACCACATAGAGAAAGTATAGCCCCCCATAATGCTTTTACAAAACCACACTCAAAGAATATATGATTTCTAGTCTCAGCCTCAGTACCACAAAGAAAACATTTGTCATTCTCAATGTTTAATCCCATCCGTAGTAGCCTTACCCGAGTAGGGAGCCTATCTAAGATAGCCATCCACAGGATTATGCTATGCTTTAGGATACGCTCAGGGAACCAAACCAGATAGTGCCAAAAGACCCTTGGAGCCGTGATGCGCATGTCCTCCTAAATTTGTCTCGTGCTAAGTTCTCTGACCGGACCAACAATTAAGTGAGAAACATCAGGCCTCATTTTCAATATATACTTGAAACTCCAGCCGACATTTGTAGGGGTACTCATCTTCCAGAACTCAGAATTTTTAATCACATAAGATTAGATCCAAGCCACCAATAGAGATTATTCCTTTGCCAGTAAGTTTCTGATCAATTGCACAATGCAAGCTTTGTTCCAGCCACCTATGTCTTTTACACCGAGACCTCCTTCAGACTTCAGCAAACAAATTTGCCTCCAACTAACTCAAGCACCTTAGCAGGTAAGTCATCCCCCTTCCAAAAGAACCGATAACATAACTGCTCAATTTTCTTGATTACCGCTAGTGGTAGCATAATCTGTCTACACCAGTAATTTGCTATGCTGAATAAAACAACACGAACCAATTGTAATCTACCAGCGAAGCTCAGTTGCCTATTAACCCATAAATTCAGCTTAGTCTGTATTTTATCAATAAGGCATTGACAATCTTTCTCTGCAAGCTTTTTAGTCACCAAAGGAATTCCCAAGTATCTCACAGGAAGTTTCCCTATCTTAAATCCTTTAATCCATCTTATATCAATACACTGCTCAACATAAATCCCAACTACATATATCTCACATTTACTGGCATTTAATTTCAAACCTGACATAGTGTAAAATACATCTAAAACAGATTGAACACCAATAATAGAGTCAATAGAGCCTTTGCATAATATAAGCAGATCATCAGCAAAACAGAGAGGTGATTAGCCCAATCCTTCTACACTAGCCCAATCATTCCACAGTTGGGATGAAAATTAAAAATTCCCTTCAAAGCTGCCACATTCAATAGACTGGACAAAACATTCATAGCAAGGACAAAAAGATAAGGTGAAAGGGTATCACCTTGCCTTACACCTCGAGCACCTCTAAAATAACCAACTAAGCTACCATTAAACACAACAGAGTAGCTAGGCTTTGTAAAACATGCCCAAATCCAGTCAATAAACTTATCAGGCAGGCCTAAAGCATACAGAACAATTGCAATAAACTCCCAATTTAAAGAGTCAAATGCTTTTTGTAAGTCAATTTCAGAGCACACCTTGAGGAGATGTTCTTCCTATTGTAACCCCTACCAAGCTCTTGAGCAAGGAGCGTGTTATCTGCAATGCTCCTCCCCTTTACAAAAGCAGTCTGGTTCTTAGAAATCATACTAGGGAAAACAAAAGACAAATGCTTTACTAGAATTCTTGTAATTGTCTTATAAATCACAGTGAAACAATATATAAGTCTAAAATCTTTGACCATATTAGGATTAAGCATATTTGGCACAAGGACTATAGCCGTTGCATTAAAAGAAGTGAGAATAAAAGATTTGTCAAAACAATACCTTATGGCAGCTTTGAAATCCTCACCAACAATCGGCCAAGCTTTCTTGAAAAAGTAAGGATTATAGCCATCAAGTCCAGGGGATTTGTCATTTCCTTGCCCCCATATGGTTCCTTTATTTCTACATCAGACACTTCCATACATAAACCATCAGCAGTACCCATAGGTAGAGAATAATCAAGAATGTCTTTGATTATTTTGACTTTACTGTCCTTGACATTCGAGTCAATCACCCCGAATTGATTTTGGAAAAATTTGATAACCTCGTTGGACATGTCTTCAAAAGTGTCAAGCCTAGCTCTAGCTTGGTCATAAAGGACCCTAATTGTGCTGCTCTTCCTCCTGCTAGCCACCATAGAATGGAAGAATTAAGTCCCTTGATCACCTTCTTTAATCCAATTGACTTTAGCTTTCTGCTTGTAGAAAAGCAATTCAGCCTCCTCAAGAATTTTCAATTCCCTTTCAACTTCCAACTTAGTATTTATGTTGTTTCCAGCAGAATCAGAATTTAAATTTGCAAGTTGAATATTTATCAATTCCTATATCTTTTGCTTTACCTGACTCGAAATGTCATTAAAACGAGCCCGGTTGAGCTCTTTGAGGAAGCATTTCAATCTTTTAAGCTTTTAAAAAAGTACCTGAGTTGGATTTCCTACAATCGGGGTCGACCAAGACTTCTCGACAATAGACAAAAATTCAGGATGCATCGCCCAAAAGTTGAAAAACTTGAATGGTTTATATCTAGCTATAGGGGCTTCTTTGTGTAGCCAAACCAAAGTTGGACAATGATCCGAATCACCAGGAGCTTGGAATTCAACATATAATTCAGGAAACGTTTCTATCCAATTCGAGTTCACAAGCACACGGTCTAATTTACGAGTCAAGTTAGTATCTTGCTGTTTGTTCGACCGTGAACAGAGTACCAGAAAAAGGATGATAAAAAATTCTCTATTCCTCCACACAGTTTTGAAAATCAGAAATATCAGCAATAGTTGCACTAACATAAACCGAGCTTTCCTCAGCACTTAAGATTAAATTGAGGTCACATCCTATCAACCAAGGCATATTACCCACTGTACATCCCAATGAATTCAATTGATTCCACAGTTGCCTACGAGTGCTACCATCATTTGAATCGTAGACCGCAGTTATGCAAAAGTTCTTTCCCCCAAATGCACCTTTAATAAAAACACTTTGATAGAAAACAGAACAAATAGCACAACTCAAACTTTTATGCCAAAGCACCCAAATACGGCCATTAACAACATGATATAGTTACAACAATATTCCCAATCACCAAACCTTTGATTCAGAATATCCATAGAATTACTTTCCTTAACTCTTGTTTCAAGCAGTCATAAAACACTTATTTGGCAACTAACAACCCATCACAACATTTTTCTTTGCTTAAGAGGATTATTAAATCCTCTTATATTCCAAAAACATACTAACATGGGACAATGGAGGAGGAAGAAGCACCACCTCTGTCCTCCAATTTCTTAACTTTTTCAACATGCTCCTTTTTTAACTTTAAATCTTGAACAATTTTTGCCACTCCAAAATAAGCAACTCTCTGCTTTCTACCAAAGTCCTCAATAGGCAACAAACTTTCAGGATCAATAGAGTTAAGAATCTCAAATTTGTTCCTAGATCCTCCCATAGTAGCTTTACCACCCTCTTTAGTTGGTCTGCGTCTTCCTTTCTTAATAGGAGGATTACTTCCATGTTAGTTTAATGTGACAGCTCCCTCATGAACAGTCTGAATAAATATTATTTTATAATCACTTTAATTTAATAAAAAAATAGATTACAAATTAAAAATAAAAAATAATCTCGCAAACAATAATATTTTTACAAATATTAAACTTTTAATCAATATTTAAAAAAATAAAACGATAAAGGTAAAAAATTTTAATTTCTTCAAAGATTTAATGAAATGTTATTTTTATAAATAGTTTTTGAATGATATTATATTATTAAATAATTTAGAATGATATATTTAAGTAATAAAACCTCGGTGAAACAAACACCGTCCCCAATCTCTTTAGTGCGAATATACGGATGGTATTAGTAGGACCATCTCTCCCCATGGGCCTTGAAAATGCCTTTCGGTTGAATAACAAGAAAGGCTAGTTTCACAGTATTATTCCTTTTGCTTCCTTTTTTTTTTCCTCTTTCAAAAATAATTAATTCTTTGCTTTGTTAAAAGATAATAATTTGTTATAAAAGTCTGGTTGAAGAGATGATTGTTATTTTCTAGAAGTTTTGAGTTCGAGCATCAACGACTGTAAGACATTTAAACATTTATTGTCAAATGATTAAAAATATTTAACATAGATATTATCCCATGTAATCATCTTAAATTAATAAAAAAAAGTTTGTAAAGTCATTGCATTTGATTATATGATCAAAGAAAATAATAGATTTTTTAATTAAAAAAAGTGGAATGTGAAAGTAGAAGTTAGATCCATTTGACGATACGATCAACTGTGGTTTGTAAAAAGAACCAGAAAGGAGATTAATATAAGCAAACAAATAGAAAAGACAAAAGTTTAATGCAAGTCCAAATTATCCGTATAGATTTTGGTGAAAGCATCGTAATATTCAAATAATAACTGATTCTTAAATCAACTATAGAGGTTATGGTCCAAGAGATAGATCATTTCGTATTTTCTGTTATTTCGTCAGAGAATTTATGCTCAAGAGAATTCTATCTTCTTAGAAGATCACAACTAAGACAATATTCAAGATCTCAACCTTCTAGATAATAACCAACAATAGATTCAGGTACGCTTCCGCAAATCTAGTTTATTTTATTTTTGATAGCCGTGTTCATATTTATTATGATTTGGTTCTAACAAGTGATATCATCGCCTCATCATGTTGAATCATTAAAAACACGTTGATTTTCTATAAATTTTTTCCGATTAATTCAGTATTTAAGATGATTGGTTATATGTTTTATATATTATTTATTTATTCGAGCATCTGAGTTAAGGAATCACATGATTTTGTAAATTTATGTTCGGTAATTGAGGGTTTAATATCATTGACTGAATGGTAATATGGAATTTCCAATTATGGGATTTACGGTTAGAGCTTACCATTTTCTACTGTTATGGAATTAAATTATATATTTGTTTAATTAAGAATTAGCATGGCTATTATTTTATGGTTTTACGTTTCGAGGAATTGAAATTCTCGAATACCATTAATGACTTTGCTAGTAAGTGTTGGTATAATGTTTTCATAAGATTGTACAATTGATCAGAGTTTGAGTCATATTAATTTTCATGGGATTGAAAATTAATATTAATTTTGTTCCATATATATTTTGTAGTTATTTTCTTATGTTTTTCTCAAGAGAGAATTCATGTTTTCGGTGGGTGTTTATATCTGTATTAAAACATTTACTTTTCCTTTATTGATATTCATTAAACATGGAGGGTTTCTTAAGGTTATGGTAGAAGCCATTGTTTTTTGCACTATGAACGACACTATGAACCTATTAACTTAGGTTAATTATGGATTGCATGATTAAGACATTTTTGTTACAGTTATGTACCGTTTATTTTTATTTTTAGTTCAATTTAGTAAATCCATGATTAAGAAAGTCTTGAAAAATAGTCAAAAATTAAGGTTTTTAGTTTTGATGGCATCATTTAAACAACCTTATTATGAGTTACTTCGGAAATCATGATGTGATTAGAAAATTCAGATTTTATTTTTTGATTGTTAAGGATTATAGAATATATATTTGGCATTAATATATTCGATTCAGTTTGATTAAAGATTAATCCACTGGTATGTACTTTGAAATTGATTTTTAGTTAAATATTGATTATTTTGAATTCGATTTGCCTTTGGTAATTTATAAAGTTATGAATTAAATGAATGTTTAAGAAAATTTTCCAAAAACAATCAAAATTTAAGTTTTCGGTTTTTTTATAACACCATTTAGGAAACCATATTTTGGGTTATTTTGGATATTGTAGTTCAATCAGAAATTTCAATTTTAACCTTTGGTTGATTTAGAAATATTAAATTTGAATACTGATATTTATTTTAAGAGGACTTAATTAATGAATTAAGTCTTTAAATAGACCTTTATTGTGAAAAATATTTTAGTTTTAAAATATGAAGGTTATGTATATGTAACTTAGGATATGTCAGTATTGATCGGCCCAAAGGAAGATTAATAGTTTATAAAGTATTTTGAATTCGGTTATGCATATGTAACTTAGGATATGTTAGTAAGATCGGCTTAGAGGAAGATTAATAGTTTATTAAGTCTTTAAAGAGATCTCTATTGTGGAAAATATTTTAGTTTTAAAATATGAAGGTTATGTATATGTAACTTAGGATATGTTAGTATTGATCGGCCCAAAGGATATGTAACTTAGGATATTTTAGTTTTAAAATATTGATTATTTTGAATTCGGTTTGCCTTTGGTAATTTATAAAGTTATGAATTAAATGAATGTTTAAGAAAATTTTCCAGAAACAATCAAAACTTGAATTTTCGATTTTTTATAGCACCATTTAGGAAACCATATTTTGGGTTATTTTGGATATTGTAGTTCAATCAGAAATTTCAATTTTAACCTTTGGTTGATTTAGAAATATTAAATTTGAATACTGATATTTATTTTAAGAGGACTTAATTAATGCATTAAGTCTTTAAATAGACCTTTATTGTGGAAAATATTTTAGTTTTAAAATATGAAGGTTATGTATATGTAACTTAGGATATGTCAGTATTGATCGGCCCAAAGGAAGATTAATAGTTTATAAAGTATTTTAAATTCGGTTATGCATATGTACTTAGATAGTAAGATCGGCTTAGAGGAAGATTAATAGTTTATTAAGTCTTTAAAGAGATCTCTATTGTGGAAAATATTTTAGTTTTAATATAAGAAGGTTATGTATATGTAACTTAGGATATGTTAGTATTGATCGGCCCAAAGGATATGTAACTTAGGATATTTTAGTTTTAAAATATTGATTATTTTGAATTCGGTTTGCCTTTGGTAATTTATAAAGTTATGAATTAAATGAATGTTTAAGAAATTTTTCCAGAAACAATCAAAACTTGAATTTTCGATTTTTTATAGCACCATTTAGGAACATATTTTGGGTTATTTTGGATACTGTAGTGCAATAAAAAATTTCAATTTTAAACTTTGATTGATATAGAAATATTAAATTTGAGTACTGATATTTATTTTAAGAGGACTTAATTAATGCATTAAGTCTTTAAAGAGTCCTCTATTGTGGAAAATATTTTAGTTTTAAAATATGAAGGTTATGCATATGTAACTTAGGATATGTTCGTATTGATCGGCCCAAAGGAAGATTAATAGTTGACATAATCGCATGTACAACTTTGGTAATAAACATGTGATAATTATTCGGTTTGATGTGTGAGTAATAAATATGTCCAAAGGAAGATATTTTGCTTGACATGTTCTTATTATCAGTGTTTAATTATCACATCAGATGTCACTTAAGGTGAATATTTTATCTATAAATGAAATATTAATGGAATATTTGATATCTTGAGATGAGGTTTAAGGTTATTCAAATTTAATATTATTTTTGGTTATCTTTTACTTAAAAGATAAAATTAAGAGAAATTGATTGGTTGATAATATTTATATGGTTAAAATTATATTGTTAATGTAATATATATATATATATATATTCAATTCGGTTTAATCAAAATTTAAGTTTTGATTTTTGGTTATTAGAATATATATTGAGACAAATCAATTCATATTTTGGCTAGGTCTAATATTTTGGTAGATTAGTTGAAACAAAATGTCGTCAAAGTGACCTCTTTTGTGTATGCTGATTTGTTAAAAATATCAAGATGATTTTTCATTTCTTGTAATTCATGTGTTTATTAATTGACCCAAAAGAAAGTTAATATTTGACCAGATTTCAAGCGACACCTGTGGTAATAATATGTGACAATTACAAGGTATTTTATGTGAGCATTACACTAGTCCAAAGATTAGTCTTGTTCGACATAGCGTATTGTCAATGTTTGATTACTACAACAAGAGTACCTTTTACTATTAATATTATTATCCAAAGACTTGATATTGAAGTAGTGTTTGGTACCTTGTGATGAGAATTAACCATTATTTTGAATTTATTTGTTTATTTAAGAATATTAATGTGAGCTTCAATTTTATTTATGTTTTATTATTGCTATCACAATATCTGCTATTATACTTGCTATGCTCATGCTTAGAAAAACGAATCTCAAGGAATGAAAAGATACACTTACATAAGGTTTTGATTGTATGAACATAGACTTTGCACTAAGGAAAGAACAATTTGCACCTCTCATGGGGGATTTCATCCTTAATTGGTATAACGGTTTTTTAGAGGTGAAATTTGTTCAAATTGCATGAGTTTAGTGGTCATGAAGCAAAAATATTTTTTTGAAGCCTTTAGGGGCACACAATCTGAAAAGATTACTTAGGTCAATGATTTTCTTGACGAAATTGAGAAATGTTTTCCTAAAAATAATAAGGTTTAAATGACATCATTTTTTACTTATTTGATGTCCATAAAATATAAGAGTCAAGGAAATATGGGGAGTACATTATGGATATGTTTCATATTGCTTCAAGATTTAAGGACCTAAGA